GCCCGGCCGGGGGTGGGGGGCCAGCCACCCGCCGCCCCAGATGCGAGCGACGGCACATTTGGGGCCACGCAGGGAGGCATGGGCGGATGATGCGGGACATCATCCACTGGCTGCGGGTCGGGTGGGAAGACAAAGACGCGGAAGGGGAGGAAGAGAATAGGCGAAGGAGGGAAGGACTTACGAAGGGAGCGGGACCGGAAGAGTCTGGGGAGAGAGGGAGCCCGGACAAAAAGGGGTGTAGTGAATCTCGGATGCCGGAGGGAGAATGCCCAATAGAGGTGGAGCCAGGTGAGCCAAGAGGGGGAGGAAGTGGCCCTGAGCAGGGCTAAGGAGATAAGCCCGCGGACTGGTGAGTTAAGGGGTTACGCCCCACCTGTCAGGTCACACGAGGGAGTTGTGACTCTCCCTCGACCTTAGGGCCCTGGGTTGGGACTCGGAGAGAGGGCGGGCCGGAGTCCCCCTTCTCCTCCTCCAAGGCACACTATCCTGGGTAACAGGACAGTATTTGGAGCGGCTGATAGGGGAATAGCTCTGTAAGGCCCCACAGGGCCAGTGACTAGAGGCTAAGACTGGAGAGGCCCCGACTGACTTTTCTGTGGGCCAGTGACCCCTGACTCAAAACTGGTTCCTCACCCCTCTCATAAATAAAGATGATTCTGAAACCTTTTGTGTCTGACAATATTTTATTTAAAAATGAAGCCTGGCCAACAAGCCCCCAGTTGGGACCAAGTTGTCATCTGGCCACAGCATCATAACACTCCTGTAACTCCCAACCCTGACTCCAAATCTGAGCCTATCATACACTAGAACCCCGTCTTGAGTCTCTCACATCCCCAAACTCCGGCACCCCCACATCCTCAGTCTTCTGCCACAACACTCCAGCACCATCCACACACTGCAAATCTGTGTCCTAAGCCCATCATACTCCCAGCCTCCCTACCCTAAGCCCCTCACATACCCCAACCCAAACTCCTGCACTCTCACGGCCACAAGCCTGTGGCTTTTTCCCCAGCCCTACCCCCCATTTTCTCCATTTGTTTTCTATGCGTTTATATTTCTGGGCTGCAAAAAACGGTACTGAAAAAAAACGGGTTCCAACTATATAAAGTTTGGGAAACCCTGGGCCCAACAGTCTAGCCAGCTTTCTTTCCATCTTATAGTCCATTTATCCAATTCATATTCCCTTAACTTGCTGGCAAGAATATTGTGGGACACTGTATCAAAAGCCTTGTTAAAGTTGGCACTGGGGGCTTTGGGAGCACGAGAAACAATTTATTTGCATAGTCATCATTTGCTTAATGAGTATACAAATAAATGTCACCAATCCGCCAAAAGCTTGTGAATGGGTTTACTGGTCCCCAGAATCAAAAAGATTGGGAACCACTGATCTAGACGGTGCTTGGTCCTGCCATTGACTTGACCTTCAGAGGGGCCCTTCCAGTTCTAGTGTTCTGTGATTCCTAACAGGAGCACACACATCCTTTGCTCCAAGTTCCCATGACCCCTCAGCCCCCCCATTCCCCACCCCCAAGTTCCCA